AGGAATGTTTTCGAGGGGACCTCTCTGAGTCTCTTTTATTTCACCCTCTTACACGAACGTTTCTGCTAATACCTTACCTTTACCCATAGGTAAAACGTTCTATATATGGTAACTTAAGAACATTGCTACTCAGAGTATCGTGTCTCCCAAGGTTGTGGTCTTGTAGTAATCTACTTTTATAAAACCTCTTTATAGAATATGTAGACATGCCCTTAAAACTGAAAAAGACCTCAGATAACAGCTGGACCAGTGCCCTTATTTCTCAGAAGCCAGGCAACTTGAGGTCACACAGATGCTCAGCTTCTGGTGGAGAGAAGGAGGAAACTGAGGTCTCCTAACTTCCAGCTCATTGTTCTCTCCACTTATCCTGATTATACCAACAAAGGACCCTGTTTCTCAGATCTGGGATATACAGTCTTTGTAGCTGTGTGTTGCATGTGTTTGTATTTATTCTTTTCAATTGCTGCTCCCATTCGATGATTCAGTAGATGCTAGAAAGCCAACATCACCCCACACTGACCTCATCCATCCAAGCTGGGTTTATGCTGTCACACTGTACTCTGGTCACACTTGCTACTCTTTTGCATATCTGTGTAGCCACAGCATTTCTGCCCCTGTGACCTAAGGCTGATCTGGGAAGAGACCTTTAGCATGCAGCTTTGTAGGGAAGATGAAAGTTAACAATGAAGAAAGCAAGCTAAGGGGCCCTGGGCTAGATTAAAGACTGATATTATTAATGCCTATTTTTTTGCAAGTACATTTGCTTTTCCTCTAATGTATTCCAGTTGCAGTCTTTATTTTCCTCTTCATACAGAGCCCAGATGCTCAGTGCCAATCTTGTTAAATCTCTTTCGCCGTCCACCCTCCACTCTGCTCTAGCAATGGCACTGCTGACATCCTTCCAATTGCTGGCAAATAGTGGCTCTTACAGGATTAACTCTCTTGTTTATATTTATCCAGATATGGTTCAACTCTGTCACAGACTAAATACCCTTTGTTCACCCGAATTTAATACGATTAATGAAAACCTGTCTGGAATTAAGCACGGCAATTTTAACATCAGGCTTGTCTTCGGCTCTTTGAAGAGGAGCTATTGGAGGCTGCCAACAGGTTCAAAGCCAGAGAAGAGAGAACGGCCAGAGGGGCACCAGGAGAGGGGAGGAAAAAGGCAGACCGATGAAGTATGATCACAAACACCACACCCAGGGCTTAGGGAGCTGCGTCCTTACGCCGCAGCTGCTGTACTTTGTTCAGGTCTGCTGATGAATCTGTCAAGCAATCCCTCTAAAAGTAAAGGCTCAAAATGTATACGTTGCCTTAAGATTGCATTTTCACATTTACCTGGGATTATCATCCACACCTATGCCAACGTCTATACCCAACTCACAGGGTTGGGTGGCTCACTGCCACTGCTCTGTGTATACTTTCACCATAGCAATAAGTAAAGCCTTACCTTTGTGCCCCATGGTGCTTACAGACTAGTGAAGACCACATGACTACCTACAATTGAGAGGTAGTTGGCAATTCAAGTGTATGCATCTATAATAGATCCTGCTTAGCAGTATATAAAAAGTAACTAAATTTAACCCAAAGTTTGGAGGAAAAGAAGGTGTCAAGCATTTCTAAATTTGATTACCAGTTATACTGCTTATTAACATCTCATCTTGAACAAAGTATATAACCTTATTGAATCTCAGTTCTCATCTGTAGAAATGAAATGACTACTGCATGTGAGGTTAAATAAGATTTGACCTGTGAAAAAGCACTTAGCCCAATGCTAGGCCCATTGTTTACAATCAGTAGATATTAGCTTCCTTTTCTTCCTCTAGGTCTTCTAGAACGAAACATGTCCTAAAAGCAGTTCTAGTATGTGTAAAGCATTAGCCCAACTTTCCTTCCTTGTATCTTAGAATATAAGCCTTAATTAACACCGATGTTTTTCAAGTCTGTCTTAGAACCCCATTCAGTTCACTTAAATAAATCTCACTGCTGCTATATTTTTAAATGAATAGGAAAATTTTTGCCTGGACATCAGTATAAATGTAGGCCAATAGCAAAAAAAAAAAAAAAAAATAGTTTTCTTTTCTTAAAGACAGAGTCTTACCATGTCATGATCCTCCTGTCTCATCCTCCCAGTGGGAACCACAGCTTTAAGCCACCATGCCAGCTCTTCTTTTATTCTAACTGTACCATTTTAACCTCTTTTTTAAAGTTAATCTCTTTCTTCCTTGGGCAAGAGAATGAGCAAGAGACAGTACTCACAACAGGATTCTGAAGTCACAATCCACCCCCAGCCTTCAGCCAGCCCTGGATCTCGGGCACATGTGTATCCAGTGTCATCAGGGAGGTGTCAGACATGAACCCCAGTGTCTTTCCCATGTGGCCTTGCCTCCAGAAATCATGTTTTCTGCTATGCCACCATTCCTGCCCCTAGTATTACCCAGGCCATCCTTGAGTGTGAGATCCTCCACCCTCAACCTCTTGAGTCACTGGCATTACAGAGTCACATCTCACACCACCATGCCTGGTGGACCAGAATCAAACCCAGGCCTCCTATGTGGTCCCAGCCTCAGGGCACATGGTCCTAGCAACATGCACTACCACAGCTGGGCCAAAAAATATTCCGGAGTCTCAAGATAATAGGATGTCCCTGTGGTTATGTTAAAAAAAAAAAAAAAAAAAAAAACTGAACTTTGGTCTTGCCAGTGCCCCTATGCTGACCAGATGCAGGGTAATTTATTCATGATGACTCATGAGAGCAGGCATAGCATGGCAATTAAACCCATGGGTTCTGGAGTCTTGAGAGTCCAACTTCAAATCCCAGCTTTGTCCCCTCCTAAGCTGTGTAACCTTGAGTGACTTCTTTACAATTACTGACTCAGTTTCTTCATCTGAACAATGATGATGGTAACAATGCCCAACCCAGAGAGTTTTTGTGGAGATTAAATATTTTCCCTCATTTAAAATGCTTATCACTGTGCCTGTCACGTAGCAAGCACTCGATATTTTTTTAGCTGCTGCTATCATTGTGAAAATGATGCATAAAACAAAATGTATTCTTATAGTAGAGGAAATCCCTTTTTAGAAGCCAGGATGTTCACAAACCCTTCCTAGAGAAGTTCTCTTACAGTGTCTCAGTGGGAACTAGGAAAGCTGAATTAGTCATCCGGAAAGTGCTTGGAGTGCCTGGTTTCAGAGCCAGGGAGGTGGCTTGTGAGGAGGAATATTTGTAGGGGCCATAGGGAGAGAGGCCTAATGAACTCTGCCTGGCCCACAGCAAGATCTCTCCCCCTGAGTTTACCTCAGCCCCTGGATTCAATGTGTTGCTGATTCTGCTTCTTAGTTCATTTTAGTTCCATCACTCACTCTGCACAATTATTCTTTAAATGTGTGAACATCACTTAGTTCTAGACAAACTAATACAGCCAAACCTTCCTTACTGTGCCCAATTTTAGCCTATAAAATACTGTCAGTGCTTTTTGCTTCTCTCCAAATTCATCCAGTATGTGTTGAGTTTATCTTTTAAATCTCAAGATTCTAGAGTACCTTGCCAGGTGTCTTTCAGCATGGAGATGGCCAGTATTTTTCTATTTACCTCCTTGGGACAGCCCAGGAAACCTGCAACCATGCAGACCTGGTGGCACAAAACTTCTCTCCTAAATTTACGTAACTGGATGCAGGAGCAGATTTGAAGAATGTCACCATGTTCCTATCACTTTGAAGTATCTGTTACTTTGTGCCCAGGAATAAATGGGACTAGACAAAAGAGAATTTGCAATGTGGACAGAGGTCAGAGGTTAGAGTGTCATCTTGGCTGGTCAGATTCAGCACTCAGCCAGACTGATGAGGCATCTTCTGAAGAAGAATGGCATAGGCAGGCTTTTGAAGGAAAGCAGCAGTTCCCTGGCAAATTACTTCAGTCTGGATCACTGGAATTAAGCTCTAACTTACCAATGCAGATGAAGGCCTTTCCAGGTGTAGACCATTGATGAGGTCATAGCCAAAAGGGAAATGGTTTTAGTTGTCATTGATTTTATAAGATCACAGAAGAGATACTGTAAGGCCTGCCTGACATCATCAGTGGAAAATGAGAAGATGAGGGCTGAGGGATGAGTGTATCTTTCATTGAAAGGAGGGAACCCAGATGAGATCATATGAAGTTTTCACAGGAAGGGAGAGACAGAAAATATTTCTTCTTTCCTGGCATGTTTTTTGCTTTCTTGGAAGTTGAATAGCTGTCACATATTGTATCTAATAAAGAGATCACAGAAACCTCACTGGGAAAATTAAAATAAAAGGCAGAGGGTTTTTTTGGGGGGGGGTTGGTTTTTATGTTTTTTTTTCAATTCTTATCTGCCCCTCCCCATCATGATTTAGCAGCTGCAATAAAAGGCAAACAATTTTGTAAGCATTTCATAATGTAAGTCATTTCAAACAGGCATTGCTGAATTTTTCATCTAGCAGTTCTGTTAACCTGAGG